TCATATTAGCTACTGAAAATAAAGGTTAACTTAAAGTTTATTATTCAGTTGACAATCTTGAGGCATATTATCCAGAAACTTCAATGGAGTTTAAATAATTAAATATCATTAGATAATCATTAATACAACTGGACAAACATATTTAAGTGGGGTAGAAGGGAAATATTCACATTCTTACCTGAACAATGATTAACTTGCTCTTGGCTGTGCTGAAGTCACTGAACTCCTCTCCAAAACACAGAGAGACAGTGGGGTCTGGGGCCGGGTACTGATTATCCTGATACAGCTGGAGGGCTGAGGACGATAGAGATCCAGGGAACACTTAGACCTTCAAGTGACCATAACTCTGTGAGCCAATCCAGGCTGAACATCTTTAGCACTGACAGATCAGATCTGATCTTACCTTGAAAAAACCTGCCAGTATCAAAGATCTTGACCACAGCGTCTCTCTCCAGCTTGCTGGGACTGGGGCTATACTGGTGGTCCTGCCCACTCCAGAATACTCTGCTCTGGCACAGGCGCTTGATGAAGATGCCTTCGCGGTTGGCCCGCAGCAGCACACCGCGCTCCAGGTGCCCGAAGAGTTTACGAGTGACATGCCGCTGGCGCTCATGCTCGATGAGCTCCACGGGTGGGAAGCGCACATTCTGGAGGCTGTCTGGGCCATACAGCATCGGGTTGGCCACAGGAGAATTGCTTGGAGAGATCCGGCAGCCCTCTGGGTGAGTGGTCAGGGTGCTGTTCATTAGCTTTCCCCCATAGTAGAAAGAGATCATCATCTGAGAGAAACCTGGAGAGACAAAGAGAAAACTGGATTTTATTACTATGTTTAACCCATCAACACAGTCTCATAACAACACAACTTACATAGGAGTTACTGAACAATATACTAGTTATTAAATAAGAATTTAAGAGGATTAATACAACACAGCTGTAATAGTTGTCTTGGTATGTGCTAATTGTGTAAACAAGTCAACAAAGACACTGAAAGAAACAAAAGAAACATAAAAGAGTCCGCCTACACATGCTTTTGTTGGCTTATGAAAATGAATCATCTATGAAAATAACAAGCAAGAGAACAGGCACCACCTACCAGCATTAAATGTGTTTATTGGTGAAGGATCCGGAAGCATAGGGAGAACTGTATGTTAAAAAAGGAGAAGAAAAAAAACATATATTAGATTTCCACTTTGCACATTTATGGCACAGGAGTAAACAAACAAACAAAAAACAAAAAGGTGACCCTTCACACGAATAATTCTGAGTAACAAAACCTTATTCAGCTCTTCTAGCTAATACTCATGGGACTAACAAAGATAGAAGCCAAGTCAGCAACGTTCTAACGGAAATTAGCCAATCTGCCCTCCTCAGCATGCAAAGCTGAGCACAAAAGCATTTTTAGCTCACATACATGCAGTCTCATAACATGGCTTTTGCACATTATTATAATGAAACTGCATGCCAGCAGCACTCTTACAGATCCAACTAAGAAATTAAAGCAGACAAACTTAAATCTGTGCATTAATTGTTATCAGAAAGGGTTTTTTTTCCTGTTTCCTTTGAACTGATAGAGATGATGGTCCTTTGTTCCTGTTTTCCCACGAACAGTGCATACATGTCTCAGTATGGGTGTGTTGGTCAGAGTAAAATAGTCTTACCGTTGTGTGGACCCTGGTGCCACCACTCTTGCGCTGGCTGCACTTTGCTGTTCTCAACCATAGGAGAATGGCTCCTATCGATAATGTCAATGTATTCATCGTTTGATGGCTGCAAGAAAAAGGGCAATTTTTGTGCTCAGTGCTTGTACAATATAGTTAAAACCTTAAGATTTTACAGTGTTGGTTAAGGCTGATGACTGAACATATAACAAAACAGATTAGCTGGAATAAAGAGCTCACCTCTTTGATGAATTGGTCAAGCAGATTTGGACTGCACTCCATCTCAGCTCCATCGGGTGGGCAGCTCATGTTCAAGGCAGTGGTGGTGCTTTTACCTACTGAAGAAAAAAAATGGTCATTTCATCTTTGTTAAAGAAATGCCATGTGAAAAGTACAGCAATTAGTTCTCTACTTTTGTGATTCGGCTTAGGGTAAATCAATGCATTCTGTGAAGAAACAGTATAATTCTGGGCATTGGAAATACTGAGAAGTTACAAACACACACTCACGCTTCTGCTCCTCCTCGGGGACAATCCTATACACCTTGTATGGCTCTGAGATGTCCAGCTGCGAGCGGTCAGTTACCTCCTCAAAATCTGGACTCTTGTTAAGGGCGCATCGCAGCCTGGTCTTCCAAGTCGCTGGTTCAGCTTTGTCTCCTTCTTTAAACTTACCCTTAAACACTGCCCAAGCCTAGAGGACACAGTATATTATACATGGTCATGATCATATTATCATATTATTATTAATGTTACAATCATTCAACATGGAATACTGTAGCTGAAATGAAATGCTCAAATATTCACTCCAACGAAATCATCTGCAGGCCACTGGCATACACACACAATCCAGTGTGAGTCTAAATATAACATGCAGCTTTGCCCACAGCATATAAACTGACTTTGTAATAAAAATATTGTAGAATGTCAATGCAATAATAATAATAATAATAATAGTAATAGTAAAATAATAATGATAATAATAATAATTATTATTATTAAGGTAATATTATTTTACTCATTAAATATTACTAATGAAGAATTACAGATTTCTCCATGCTTACATTTAAAACTACTGCAGTTTCACTTTTGCCTTTATTTTTTAACTACGAAATCCAAGTCCAGTTTTTAGCTGTAGTGTCCGAACACGCCATCAGATGGCACAACTGTGCTCTTTCTTCAGCAGCTTTTTCGAGCGCGTCTACGCTACTTTTCATAAGATATGAATAGATGCGTAAATACGGTTCAACGCAAATGCACATTTTTATTTCCCTTTTTTTGTGAATCAAATCTGGTCATAAACACAGATGCCTACTTTAAAAATGGACGCATCCACTTCTTGGTTGTAGTCCTGTTTTCCTGCGTGTTTCCACGGGATACGGAACATGGTGTGATTCTCATCCTCCCACAGCAGCCCCGCGTAAATATTACTGTTGATTTGCTCGATCAGCCACTGTTTCAGTCTGCGCCCTCCGGGATTCATCTTAAAAGCAGCACATTCGACACGTTATGTTTTTCGTAGTCTAACTCATCACTCTTAACTTTTGTTCAACTTCAGCTTTTTTAACACTACATTCATGCTCGGCTACTCACCTCGGTCCTGCTGATGTTGTGGTCTCTGTTGCTGCTGCTGAGCACTTCCGCGCGGAGTTCTGACAAGTGGATTTTGATCGCTAGCCGCTCTCTCTGATTTATTACAGAGGCAAGTCTTTCAGTTCATTTTGTGTGAATGGAGCCTGTGGTCACACCCCCCAGCGCCCACGCATCCAATCAAAACACGCCCACTGCTGTGACGCCTCCAGTCCGGAAAACTTCTTCGAAGCGGTGGCATTTACAAGAAATCGCCTTTCCCTTCGAACGGAGGTGTTCACAAGCCTGTGGGGTGGGCTCCACTTACATGGAAAAGGGACTTTACAGACTAGATGTTTATATGTAATGAGCTTCTGAATACTGATCAATTTCTTCAGCACTCATTGATTGGCCGCACTAAAACAGACTTACTGTATTTTTCCGCAGTGTGTATGTCAAGTTTTAGTCGTTACCTTATTCGACCTTTCCTGAACATTTCATGACACCACTTTTCATGATAATATAGTGACGTGCCTTTATTCTTTGTGACATATAAATGAATAACTCGGACACAATTTTGCCTCCTTTTTAGATTAGCTCGAGTATAATAAACAATAAAATAGGTTTATCCACCTTTTGGCCCCCCACCTGGCATATGATCAGAAATGCTCTACTGTTAAGTTTTATGTAAAAAGTGATGTCAACAGACTAATTTCACTTACGGACCACCCCTTTGGGAATAGTCAGCTTTGTTTAAAGTTGGTTTTCTATCAAAGTCCATTACGAATACAGTTGTAATACTTTATATTTTCTTTAATTTACTACATTATATTACTGTCTACACTACATGCCCAAAAGTATTCAGACACCCATTCTAATTACTGAATTAAGCTACATTATGGTGCACCCATCACTGACACTGCTAACAGAATGGGATGCTCTGGAGCAGCCACACATGAGCCTAAGGTCAGACTACCCAAACATCAGCTAGAGGCGCATAAAGCTCTCTAACATTGGGCTGTGGAGCAGTGGAACTGCACTCTGGAGTAAAGTGCTCCATAGCATTTTTGATCCAGAACTAATCATCTAACATCTGTACCTAACCTCATTAATGATTTCGCAGCTCAATGCAATCAAATCCTCACAGCAGTGTTCCAGCATCTAATGTAAAGCCTAGCTGTTGGAGCCACAGAAGAGTGGAGGCAGTTACTGCACCAAAGAAGGGACAAGTGCCCCTCAAAATACTCTTAATTTCAGAAGAAACATGCAGGTGACTACAAACTTAGACATATAGCATACGTACATGCATTAAGGCAAATGATGGGATATGACATTGTGATTGGGGAGATGTTCTGAAATAGTTAATCTTTAATGCCAACCTTAAGTCTAACCTGCAGCCAGGAAGTTAAATATCATCTGGAAACCATGAAAAGCGGATCTTGGAAAGGCAAAGTCACATGTTCTTGGTTCATTTCAGGATGTGAGCACAGGTTGAGGTTTTGTTCGTCTCGGAGGTGGAGGTGTTTTCTTTATACAGTCCTTCTGAGGGGAAGGACTGGCGATGGCATCCACTATAATAAAAAAGAATGGTTCTCTATTGTTGCCCTGAAAGGTCCTCTAAATCTAAAGAGGCCTTGAGTAAGGTTCAGGCGCCTCTATCTTTAAACGTTTCTTTCACCCTTAGGCTTCTTGCTCATGAACATTTGAGAATAAGTAAAAGCCACATGCATGGCATAGTAAAATAGGTGCAATCAAATAAAGCTGCCATATTAAATATGGTTCATAAATATTGTTTAATAACATAAGATTTGCAAAGAACAAAATTACAAATTTCTGTATATAAAGTTCTGAACCATTTACAGTGTACTCTGACAGTGTACTCAGTTGAGCATGTGCAAATTAAATAATGGGCATAAATCTGATAACTGTTTGACAAAGAACAAAGTAATGAATCAGCATCTTTAGATAAGAATGTAAAACGAATGCTTAAAAAAATAGACAACTTGGTATGGCTTTTGCAGATCTACAATGATTACTTTTTAACCAGAGATCTGACTACTTTAAAATATGTATGCATTAACAAGACTTAACAGAAAACAAAAAAGCAGTGGGCAACTAACAAAAAACAAAACAAACAAACAAAAACATTTGGTTTAAATTCCGCCACTAATCACCCAATGTTTAGCATACTGGCTTTTCTAACAAAGTCAGTTTGACCTTTGGATCTTCTAAACAGCTTTAAAACGAACTGATGTTACATTCAGGGGTTAAATTATATGATAATTAAAGCATATCTATTCAAAGGTCTCAAACAAGGGCCAGTGCAAGTGCCATTGCTGTGCCCAGCTAAGCTTAATGTAGTTCAAAATACAGGTGAGCAGCAACCATTATGAGCCCATAGTTCTCTTAGTAAAGGTGAGTTGGGGGTAAATGGGACACTCATCTATTGCAGCCTGAGCTGCTATAACGGTCATATGGCATAGCATAGACGCTGGTGGACTGACTCATCCGGTCATGCTCTCCTCGTCTCCGTCGCTCCTGTGCCTGCTGCTCTGCATACTGGACCAACAAAGCCGCCACATGCTCCTGGTCTCTGAATGGGCTGTGCCGGTAATTCATCCGCAGCCAAGCGCGATACTGATACAGGGAAACAAGGAGAAAATGTAAAAAAAAATTAATTGTTCATATTAACCCCCCCCACAGCCCCATGCACAGTTGATATGTGGCATGTACACTCACTCACTCACTCACACACTCACACACACAGACCACCCTTTATCTATTTAATTAGTCATTAATTTTTCAGGAATCATTTATGAGGAGGTTAGATAAAAGATAATTCTCTGGCAAAAGGAAACGGAAAGCCAAAAGCAAATAAATGAGATTTTTTTTTCCCAAGATAAGAATTAAAAAAAATTATTAAAAGATAAAGAGAAAATGGGACTCCTAACAACCACCCTGGCAAACCACCCAAACTGTCACCGTTCAGATAAACAGTACTTAAAAATGTATAAACTGTATAAACTATATAAATGTATAAAAATGAAAAAAAGTGCAAATCAAACAAAGAAGCTGCTGCCATTCTCAGACCACCAGACCAGAGTCCAGACCTCAGTATCACTGAATGTGTTTGGGATTACTTTGTTCATGAGAAGCAGGAAATGCAACCAACTTCAAAGACTGAACTTGGTGAGGTGAAAAATATCCCTGCAGATTGCTTTGAAAAACTAAACGCAGATGTCCTGAAAAGAATGGAATGTGTAATAAAAGCAAAGTGTGGACACACTAAATACTGAAAAAATCAATATTATATTTAGTGGCTGTGACTTGTAGTGGTGAAACTGTCTGTTTAATATGCTTTCTGCTTCATTTTAAGCAATATGTAGTTTTCCTGTCTTCCAAACATTATGACAGTTCATTAGAATCCAGCAATTCTCAGACAGCCTGTCTATTCCCCACTAACTAACTTCAGCAGCTGACCACAGAAACTCTGCTGTTAGGTTCTAAAACCTTCCCGCTCACCCTAATTCACCCAAAACATGCCAAGAACTTGAACAAAGTACTTTCACTTTTGACTACTGCATGCCAGGTCATTCACTTTAACTATCCCTACAGAAGAATGGCCTGCTCTGATTTAAAGCAACATAAAATATTTACTGAAAGCTTTTTAAGCTGAAGTTTTATTAAATCGATTTGTTTATCAGCAAACAGTAGGACTGAGGGAAAAAGGATATAATTTGACCGCTTCAGGGGTGAGTTGGGGGGGTGGGGGTACAGGGAGACAGAATGGGAATCCCCTGTCTGAGAGCCCTGCAGTGGGAGTAAGGTAGAATTTAGTGGGAGGAAGGACTTCCCGTCACTTTCCAAGCAGGCATTCCTTCCCGGACGATGGCGAAAAAAAAGGAAAACAGTCGTGTAGATGACATGCCCTCCAAGACTACTTACACAGTGTTGCTATGTACAGATTTACATTTTACTTTTTTAAATGGCCTTTTTTGCTACAATTTTTTCCTGTTCATTTACATTTAAATTCTATGGCCGGTTGTGCATTACTGGACCACTCAAGGCCAGTGCACCCAAACAAGCAGCACAGAAAACAAATATTTGTTTGGTTGGTGCTAGTATCTGATTGGGATAATCAAGAATGTTCTGCTCCTTTTACTCTAGTTCATTTGTCTGTGCCTTTTCTGGACATTTTAAGACTGTTTGTGTTTGCTGCTTAATGTTTAGTCAATGTGTTCTGCCTTACAAAGTTCTCAAAGTGAAAAGACTGAACATCTGAAAACTACACACAATGTAAGGACACCTGTAACCTGTTTATTTAATGCAGCTGAATAATTGTTGTGAAGAGAGTCTGTTACTATCAGACTGGGCAAGATATGGCTAATAAATAAATGAAACAATTTCAGTCTAGTGCACTTAAGACAGAAAGGTCAGCTGTGTGGGGAATTTTCCTACATACTGAGTGAGACATAATCACAACCCATCATCACAAGTCTAAGCATTTCTGTGCATGTCCACATTTCTAGACAGTAGGTATAAAGAAACATGATGTTGAGAGCAGCAGAGGAAAGGAAAAATCGGCAATATGGAATAATTAAAAAGAAAAAAAAAGAACAACTGGTGTACTTAGCAATGGCCTGCATCCAGGATGGTCAACGAAAATGACTGTGGTTGATGACAGAGAAATTACCAGACATGAAATCACCAACCACCTTAAAAATGAACAAGCAACCTGTTGTTCATGGAAGACAGCTTAAAGCCTTTACAGTACAGAGTGCAAAAGGTTTGACCAGCATAAATCAATGAAATGGGAGATTAAAAGTAGCTACAAAGTACAGTTCTCAAATAACGTTCTATGAAGAAGTTATAAAAAAAAAAAAAGTTGGCATGTGGAGCAACATGGGCAGTCATGTGGAGGCAATGCCTTGGGCGTGTGTGACAGTCTCTGGAATTGGCTCACTCATCGTTATTGATGACGTAACTAAAGACAACAGCAGCATAGTGAGTTTGGAAGCATACAGGAACATCCTCTGCGATTATGTGCAGAAAAAAAAACAATACAAAAAATCCCTTTCAGGATCATTAGGTGGTACTACTAAATAAGCTTAAAATATTGTTAAAATATGTCAAAAATATTGGTAAAATATTTTTGGTCAAAGACTTAACAAGTCCATGTCTTTTTACATGCAATCAATATATACTGAACTGTTTAACTTGTAAAAGAACCTGAATCTAGAATCCTCATAAGGCAAACATGTAATGGAAATGGCTAAAGTAAGGTTTCAATATCATATCTCAAAGAAAAATTAGATGTTGGAAAGTGAGTGGATTCTCTACTTTCACCTCTTATTTTTCATCTTTAGTTAAATATATTTCATTGCACTGCAAAAATAATAATAATTGTTTGCTGTACAGTAGGTAGAGTAGCTACAGTAGCTAAAGAGGCAAATAACAATGTCAAATCCCTGGCACTATATTATTAATGTACTCAAATTCCATTGTGAGGATGAACTTGAAAATCATTTGAAACATGGATTACAAACTGTATGTAAAAATGAAATCTGATAACTGTCTAGGTACTGTAAAGGGACATTTATTTTATTTATTTCATTTCTTTTTTCAATGCAAAAATTGTCTAACAGTGGTATAGTTATTTTTAACTAAAAACCAAAAAATAATTACATCAGCTAAATCAATCATAATCTAGAGTATGACAGAAAGCTAAATAAAGGTAAATCAGTTAAAGGATACCCATGTGAATGCCGTTTATGGTCCAGAGGCTGACAGACGCTTTGTTTCAGTTCCCCCTCCAGCTACCTTGAGCAAGAAGTTAAAACTCTCTCACATTGAGAATGTGGAGATAGTAAACAAGTACTGACATTTAAAACAGTGCACTCTCAGACCACAACTGACCACTCTTCATTTTGTGCTGAGTGTACAAATACGTAGTTGTGTTACTGAACTGAATTTAAAAGACTAGCTACGGCAATCCTGTTTATCAAAAAAACAAATGAAACTGCAGTGACTGATCGCTGATACACTGATTAGACAACATCATAATTTCAAAATTTTCACAAAATTGGCACTGGTGGAATGATTCTGAATACATTTTACATAATTTACCCAGTAGCTGAATTTAATCTCCATTGTTTCTATCGACTGTTTCTACTGGTACAAATGATTTTATATGTGATTTATCTTTGACAATAAGGTATATATTTCAGTGACAAGGATAAACAACATGTAGAAAACCCTTGTGTTACAACACCCACATCATCACGTACACACTGAGAACAAAAGTGGTGTGTCTGGACAGACAAGTTATCACAGATAGGAAATATGACTCGAAACATGCCAGAAGGTCTTACTGTGAGGCCTGGCTTCAAGTTCCAAGGAAGGCAGCATATAAAGGTAAAGATACAGTACTGGGCAAAAGTCCACCCATTATTTATTTAATTTTTCTGTCAAAACAGCCATTAAGTACAAGTTATTCATTTTTCAGCATCAGGAAAAAAACGTTTAACAGAAAATTACACAGAAGCCTCAACAACTAAATATAAAATCTAAATTTTCAGTATTTCATGTGTCCATGCATTTTATATTGTTACAGCTTCAATCTTATTCAGGAGACTTGCTTTCATTTTTTAGAGCAATGATCCAAGTAATCCCAAACACATTCAATGATGTTGAGGTCTGGGGTGGTCAGTCCATTATTTTAAGAACACCAGCAGCTTCTTTATTCGATATGCAAATTTTTGTTTCTCAGTAACGGCTTCTTGACAGCTACACATCCTTTAAGACTCATAGTGTTGAGTTGTCTTCTCACAGTGGAAGAATGGACAGAAATATCTGTGGATTTTTTCAGATCAGAAATGTGTAGAGCTTGATTTTTATTCTCCGCTCTCTCAAAGATGAAAGCTTTAAGTGCTGTATAGCTGACGATGACAGTTTTGGTGGGAAAACAAATCAATTAAAGGTGTTTTCTTACAACCCCATTTCCAAAAAAGTTGGGACGCTGTGCCAAATGTAAATACAAACTAAATGCAATGATGTGCAAATCACTTAAACCTTGCATTTAATTGAAAATAGTACAAAGACAACATTTCAAATGTTGCAACTGAGAAACTTTATTGTTTTTTGAAAAATATTTGCCTATTTTGAATTTGATGCCAACAACACGTTCCAAAAAAAGTTGGGACGGGGGCAACAAAGGGCTAAAGTTGTGTAATGCTTAAAAAAAAAAACAAAAAAAAAAACTCATTTAAGATGCACTGAGGCGAAGTGGAAAAGTGCCCTGTGGTCCGACAAATTAACATTTGAAATTCTTTTTGGAAAATCATAGACACTGTGTCCTCTGGGCTGAAGACCACTCAACTTGTTATCAGTGCACAGTTCAAAAGCCAGTATTCATGATGGTATAGGGGTGCATTAGTGCACATGGCATGGGTGACATGCACATCTGTGAAGGCACCATTAAGGCTGAACTATATATATGTGTTTTGGCAATGTATGCTGCCATCCAGACAACGTCTTTTACAGGGAAGGCTTTGCTTATTTCAGCAAGATGATGTCAAACCACACTCTGCTTGTATTACAACAGCATTGCTCCATATTAAAAGAGTCCGGGCGCTAAACTGACCTGCCAGCAGTCCAGTCTTGTCACCACTGAAAACATCTGCCGCATTATGAAATGAAACACAACAAAGGAGACCCCTAACTGTTGGGCAGCTGAAATCCTATATCAAACAAGAATGGGAAAACATATCACTCAGGGCAATTGATTTCCTCAGTTCCCAAATGCTTACAGTGTGTTGTTAAAAGAAGAGGTGATGAAACACAGTGGTAAACATGCCCCTGTTCCAACTTTTTTGGAATGTGTTGTTGGCATCAAATTCAAAATGGGCATATATTTTTCCAAAAACAATAAAATTTCTCAGTTTCAACATCTGATTTGTTGTCTTTGTACTATTTTTATTGAAATATAAGGTTTAAATGGTTTGCACATCATTGCATTTTGTTTTATTTACATTTTGCACAGTGTCTCTTGTACTTTAGCACTGCACTGCCTTTGGCTTGACTGAAGGGCCCTGTGCCAAGTGGCAACAAGGAGCCAGTGAGAGACCTACGCCTGAACAGTCTAGTGCCGTGGAGAGCGCCGAAAACCCAACAGCCAGTGCACAAGCGCTAATGGGTTCTTGCTGCTCTCCACGTCACTTTGGGTTTTGGGCACCAGCCTCCTGACGCTCAGCACACGTCCACATCATTATTATTCTCCACATATGGAGAATATATACGTTTTTTATGAAAATGAACACAATTACTTATATTAACTTAACTACTTTGTTTACAGTGGTTTAGTTCTGCCCAATCACACTGAAGTTATAAGGAGTGTTTCAGCCCAGGCTGGCTTTTTGAATGAGGCGAAATACAGGACAGTAGTGTTGTAGTACTCCAATCTTAAACTAGCAGTCTCGGTCTCGTCTCAGTCTCAGGGTAAGGCGGACTCGGAAATTTTTGTCGAGACCAGCCGAGTCCAATGTCTCCGTCTGAGGTAACTGGAAGCTGATTTATTATTGAATATTAACAAAACCAGGATAAACAGAATAGACAGTCCTTTCTCTGCATACTAAACTCTCTGCTCTGCGCTGCTCTTTGCGCTGCGCCACTGATACACATGCGCAGACACACTGCTAGGATACAGACAGAAGCAGCCGGAACTGGAAAACGAACAAAACTGAAAGTTTTCTCTCTTCAATCTTTTGTTTAAAACAAGTAAAAACAAAGACAATTTTCTTTATTCTGTCACCTGTTGTGCTCATTCGTCATTGGAAGTAATAGTTTGTTTTAGTTTTTTTAACTGTTTAGTTTTATTTATAACTGTTAGTAATGAAAGTTATTTATACAGTTTAGCTCATCACTCAGCTGGTGTTCTGATGTGTGCTGCCTTGTCAAAATGGTCACGGTGGTGCATATTTATAGGTAGAGCTCTACATAAAACTGTAGGTAGGATATTTTGATAGCCTAAATCACACAAAGCAGAAGTCAGCTTCCTATTCACCAGCTTCTTGTTCGTATTTTCCCATTCCACCTTAAATCGTGAAGCAGTTACATTTCGGTGCCTCAGTCCACTGAGGCACTCAGGCACCATTTAAGGTGGAATGTACAATTAACTACAAATGAATTTCATTTGTAGTTAATTGATTTCTGAAACAAATCTTAAACTGGTCTCGGTCTTGTCTCCGCCTCGGCCAGTCCCGGTCTTGGTGACTTGGTTAAAGACATGGTAACAAAAACAGCCTGTTTCACTCTAAGGAATAAAGAGAGGTTGGAAAATGTTCATGTAAAAAATGATTACTCATATTTTTGGCACATAAACCAATTTCAACATTGTAAGGGGACTTAAATATAAACTACAAGAAAAAGGAGGATAAAGGCCCTTTAAATTTGGATTTAAACATGTGAGGTAATGTAACAGAAGTATAATATTTGGCAAAAAATCATTTATTTGCTAGATTTTTAGCACTGCATTTTTTATCATGGGGAAAAAATAAACTTGTGGAAAAATTGTAAAGAAGTAAATCCCCTTTGCCAGCCGTCGGTTCCTTAAAAACTGTAGCTATGCACGTGTATTTAATAATGCCAAAAAACATATTTCAAAGAGAAATGTTAATGTTGCAAGCCTCTGGCAGTAATGACATCCACGTGATGTGTAACACATTGCTAATGCAATTTCAGCAAGTCCCCCTGAGTTCCCCTTACTCACTCAAGTGAGTCCACAACCCTGTGCACCTCCCCTGCAGCGTTTAGCTCCCGCTCTGAATGGCATATAGCAACAGATTGTCACACGGCAGCTGTGCAAAGAGCACACGGAGCCTCAAACACAGGAAAACCTCTCTCACACCTTCACCGAGTCAGTGTGTGAACTCTCATATACATGACACAGAAAGGCACAACTCAAAACCCCCTGCAAATGTCAGTGTGCGAAAGATAGAAGGCTCTTAAATCCAAATCAAATGAACTGTCCGGCAAAAAAAATAAAAATCAAATGTACATAATTTTCCACTCTCCTAAAATGTAGCCAGTCAAAAGACGTGGTGTCTCAAGTTTGCTTTTTTAGTTTTTCACTGGAGCTAAGAGTTTAATTAACAATTAATAGATGTCTATGATACCCAAAAAAGATTTTCAGTGACACAGACTTCCGTTGCTTTTCAACTGCATTAGCTTTGAAGCTCTAGTGAAAAACTGAAGAAGCAAAGTTCAGACGCCAAACGTCTTCACTGATCGACCACGACTGAGAGATCACTATGTACATATTACCAGAGTAGTCCTTAAATATTTCAGTTTTCTCTGTGGACTCAATTTGGAGTTCTGTTTAAGAATCTGCTTTATTATGACTGATCCTTTCCTCCTGATAAGCTTTATTAGACAGCACAAGAAAACAGGCTTTCAATCAAAATCCAGTTAAAAAAAAAACAAAAAAAAAAACATTGCTTCGAATGATGCGAAGTGAATGACTAAAAATTTACCAGTAAGGCTACAAATGCAGCTCGCAGTCCTAACTTGTTTCAGTGATTGCATCATTGAGTGTATGTCAGGGGTGACAGACAATTGGGCAGGAAACCAAAGGAAGGTCTGCTTTGAATTCTTTCTGCTTCAGGTTAGGTTGTAGCTTTAGGCAATATGTTACTCTAGAAGGAACATTAGATAACATTTAAGAAAGACTGAACAAACCTCACTGCCATATGTCAACACTGAGAACACATAATGAGTCAACATAAGCAGCTGCACATTCATACTGAGCAGGCATTAGCGATACATCTGTTTGCATTTATTTCACTGTTTATTTTTATTTACTAATTTTCCGAAGAACCTCTGTGTTATTTGCAAAGAGCACTAAAGATGTACATACAGAACCATGCAAAAGTCAGAGACCACCCTTTCATTTATTTAATTTCCTGTCAAAACATCCATTAAATGCAAGTTATTCATTTTTCAGTGCCAGGAAAAAAAATGAAAACATGTTTTTAACAGAAAATTACACTGCAGCCTCAACAATTAATTATATTTTTTCAGTGTTTAGTGTATCCACTTTCTATTATTTTGGGGAGACTTGTTTTCAGTTTTTTGAAAGAAATCTGCAGGGATATTTTTCCACACCTCCAAAGTTCAGTCTTGGTTTCTCCAAGTAATCTAAATTGCACATTTAAACTTATCAGTCCACAAAGCCTTACTCCACATCTCAGTTGTCCAGTTTCGTTATTCTAGTGCAAATTTCCCTCTTTTTTTGGCCGTTTCCTTTTCTCGGCCTCTTAAAAGCTATACATCCTTTCAGACCCACAGTGGTGAGTTTTCTTCTTACACTGAAAGGATGGACAGGAGCACCTGTGGATTTTTCAAGCTTTAAAGCAAAACTGATGCTTGATTTCTCCTATCCCTAAAAGATGAAAGCTTTGCAATTACAAAAATAATAATGAGAATAACTTATTTTTAATGGTCATTTTGGCTGGAAACTGAATAAACAAAAGGGTGGTTGCTCACTTTTGTACTGTACATAAGCACTGAAATTATGGGGTAACTTCTACTGCACAGAGTGAATTGCGACATTTGGGGGTGGGGGTTGTTTTTCTATTGGTTAACACTGCCCTTGTGATTTATGGAGCTCAAAATAGTTCCCAGACTCTTGAATGGGAACTTCTCATAAGAGCACAAAAAGCATCTGTCTGTTTAACTTTCCTAGAGTGTGTTAAATGTAATTAAAATCACAGAATTACAGAAACACCAAGGGATCTTGTGGGAGCGGTGAAGTGTGATTTTGTAACTTTGTGGTACATTGATTTAGATATCTACCTCTGAGATCTGGGTCATCTGGAACTGCTGCAGCTGCTGCTGGAACCCGTAGTTAGGGCCTACAAAGGATCGCACAGCCTTAACTGCGGTCAGACACTCCTCCCAGCCATAATTGGTGACAGTCATCAGATAAGCCACTACCACCGTAGTACTGCGTGACACTCCGGCTAGGCTGAAATGCATCAAACCGAGATGTTACCATGCTAGCCAGAAACAAAACAAAAGCTACAACTGACTGCTGACTCCCTCATATTTCTGTCTAGACAGGACAGTGTACACACAGGTACAAAATTATGCAATAGTCAGCAGAGAAAAACATAGTAAGGCAAAATTAATCTTCCAGTAATCTCTTTGGAAGGGACTTCCGAGACAAGGTGTGCCCCTGAGTATGCCCAAAAGCCTGTATTTCTTTTCTTTCAAATGTCTTGAACTGAGAATAAAATAAAATAAAATTCACTCAGTAACTCCTGAGGGTTTACCCACTCACCAGTGAACCAGACAGGCTCCTCCGTTCAGTCGGCACTCGTGGATAAAACGGATACACTCTTTAAAATGTTGTAACCTGAAAAAGACATAATTTTGCTTCATAAAAATCCAGAAAGTCCAGTCTCCCTCACAAACTAAACAAAATGAAATATTCTGTTGGCACAGTAAAAAGAACACACAGATATCCCTGACATGACCAGAAAACGTCCTGCTCATCATTTAAGATGATTCTTGTTCAATTGCAGCGTGCCTCTACTATACAGACATCCTGCTTTATCTGTACAAAAGCTCACATGTAGATGCACAAAAGTCAAAGATCACCTTTTCATTTTAGAGTTATTTAGTATTCTGCTTTGCAGAATTTTCTCATGTGCCTCTAAAATTGCTAAAGAAGATGTTTCTGAGGAGATTAGATATACAGCAATCTACTTTGCTTAAGTGAAAAAACAGGAGTTTCCCAAACTGGAAAAGGAGAATCCTAACAATAGTGCAAGACCAGATAGATCATCAGAACTATCACCATCACATAAACAGTACTTAAAGCTCTTATCTTTGAGAGAGGAGAAAAATCAAGCTCCACTGTTGCTTCAGATCTGAAAACAACCCATTCTTCCACTGTGAAAAGACAGCTAAACATTATGGGTCTGAAAGGATGTGCAGCTGTCAAGAAGTTATTACTGAGAAAAGGCAAAAAAGAAAAAAATGCTCTAGAACTTATTACTTTAAATTTGTAATTGGGTTTACTTAGAATGTAAGAAACAAAATGCAGCCAACTGAAAGACTGAACTTTGGAGGGGTGTCTTTTTGCCCCGCAAAAAGAAAGGAAGGTCTTGTGAGGTCAAAGGGTCGACACAATAAATACTGAAAAATGACTTTATATTTAGTTTTTGAGGCTTGTTTCATTTTCTACTAAATATGCGTTTTCTTCTTTATTCCTGACACTGAAAAATGAATAATGACTTCCAGTCATGTTTTAACTGGAAATTAAATAAGCAAAAAGGTGGTCTCTGCCTTCTGCACAGTGCTGTATGTACAGGCATTATTCAGTATTCTATTTCTGAGGTCTGTATTTTTCAGTTTAATATTCAGTAGTATAACATATATAATAAGTATAAAGAACTGATAAACATGCAGTAAATGGCAGCTATCATTTGGCATGAAGTGTTTAGTGACCATTAGTGTGATAATCCTCTTTAAACTCTCTTTTTCAGGTACTGTTGGGTAATCTATCAGCATTGCAAAACTCTATGCCCCTGTGCGAATTTGCTTTAAAAGTCTGATTTCCCAATCAAGCTCGACAAAACCGCTTCAGAACGGCACATGCCTGCCATTTTACTCCTTTTACTGACACCATCAGCACATTCTTATTTCCGGAGTTCTTGGTAGATGTGCAAATTTTACTTCAGTGATCACTGAATCTCAAATCACAGCAGACATATCCAAACAAAGCCGTATGAACCAAAGGCAATTGAAAACAGTCTGAAATACTGCCAGTAAACTTATTTGAAGTGATGTGACACAACTAAACAAAACTTGAAAAAAGTGTCTATCTATATCAAATAGTTATTTTATTTAATTATACATCTAAAAAAATAGCGTTCTTGTAAATCTCAAAGATCGTCTTGGTGTGAAACATGAAAAAAAAGTGTCACTGCGTGCATTTGAGATGGTTAAGAACTGCTCAAACATACTTTTTTCATCTTGTGTCTAAAAAAAGGAACAGTTTATCATGACAATCAGATAATTCCAAATAAGCTTTGAGCCTCGTACTATGACTCAGCTGCAAAACGACTATCTTTCCTTCAAAATCGTCCCTTAAACCTTTGAAAATGATTCAATATTATAATATCAAGGAATAAGATGCATTATTATGCATTGAGTTCCTCGATGATCTGTTTAATAGCTGCAACTAAACTGCATCTCAGGAAACCACTGACTACAGTTATGTAGGCAGCAGTGTTTACAGTGTCCGTACTTGTCTGTGAACACGTGTGTAAGGTCATTAACTTCAGAAAGGCCAAGAGGACAGTGATGACACAAGGAGATTGACCGTTATCCTTATTTTTAAAGCTGTAGGATTGTGACAGAGGGCTTTTTAAGAGGTTTGGTGGCCACTGCTGGCTTCCTTCCTCCTGCTGGATTGCAACAGTGGGCCAAAGCCCCCCAGTAACCCTCACAACAGTCACACACCACTAACCCTAATCATCCTGAATTGTGGGGCACTTTCCCTCAGACATCTGCCTCATGCAAGTCTTTCAACAAATCACAATGGTACAGCTGAACAAGAGATTAAATGTCTTTAAACTTAATTAAGGTTTAAACGTAAACAAAAACAAAGTAGTTTCTGTATGTAATTTGTTCTGTATAAGCTCTTTCTAAAAGATCTATCTAATCTCACTGCAAACTGTGAGCTGTTCTGTCTATGAAAGATTCAAATGATGCTCCAAATCTTGTTTCAGGCATTCTGTATTCATTAAGAATTAAACCAATAAATCAATATTTTTTACCAAGCAATTTAGTGTCTTTTATAGTGTGAATAACAGAATAGATGAGAGGCATCTGGTGTGTTGTAAAGCAGTGATAGTAAGCCTGAAGGAAGAGGGGGTGTAGATACGTTCACTGAGTCAGAGACAAGGAAGCATCTCATCTACACTTCATTTAATGCTGCTGCTACTGTTCGCTTCATGTTTTGTATAGACAGGCACTGTGTTGACTGTGTTGGAAGTGAAACAAAACTAAGCAATAACAAAAAACATGAATACATTTTAAAGTGTACTTAATGCTCAATGTGTAAATGCTATGGAGATGTATTTTAGTCTTCGCAATATTTGCAAGTCATGGAGATTTCTGCTGTGCCTCTTTACTGGTTCATTTCCAGTCTGACTATACTAAATGACTGCACAACTTTGAGAAAATGTGAGAAAAGTCTGAAAATGTACATCACCCTTCAGCTGTGTTATTTTAAATGTTGCCAGTGGCAAATTCAATGAATAAATGAATTAATTAATAAATAAAAAAATTGAATTTGTATAGTAGAGTTTCAAAAGTGTCCATTTTTAAAGAAAACAAATAAAATAAGTAAATACATACATATGTCGCATTGTCGCTGTCCAAAGAAAAACAAGTAGAAACTAGAAACTGCAAAAAATGGAAATACTTGGATTTTTGGACAGCCACAATATGTAAATGTTTGAAAAAATATCTTTCTCTATCTGTCTGTCTATCTATATATCACTGCTGTCAGACCAAAGCCTCATATCTCCATTTTTGACTATTTTTATTTTATTTTTTATTTTATTTTATTATTGACATAATGTGAAAATGCCTGTTGCCCTTACACTGACTTACATTAAAGTTATAGTTTTGGAGATACAAGGTTTTGTTCTGACAGCAGAGTTTAACATGTTGGTCAAAAAACCCATAAAATATGAAACATTTTTGCACAGGCCACATTTCATATTTTGTTTTCCAATATGTTAAATTCAGTAAACAAACAATAATTGTGTATTAAAACGTGCGGAATTGTGTTCTCAGTAGAAGATACGTTATTTTCGTATAGAAATTGAATCAAACGTCATTTCAGCAGGGGGCCCAAACTTTTGCATATGATCGCACATGTAAATAAATAATACAATATCCAATGTTGTAAATGCACAGTGTAGGTATGTAAAAGCTCAGAGAGCTCTTTCCATAGCTGTGGCCCAGTGAGCTCAGAACACTAACCTAATTTATGTAGCTTTACAGATTCATCCAAGATAATGTGATACAGTAGACCTCGCAGATAAAGTGGAAGTACAGCAGTTATGTTTTTGAATGAGAACTCAAATGGATTTTCTCTTTGACTGCAATTGCAATGTAATGTAACAACTGAACTGGATAAAAACTGATTAATTAGTACATGTATTATGTTTTTAAAACATTTCCTGCAGAGTTTTGGACATATGCAAAGCACAGACATCAGAGCATGACAGGAGGCGGTTTTCAGAAAATTAATATATTCCTAAGTAAAACAAAATCTTACAAATGGAAGTAATATGATAACTCACAGCAGTGCAAACTTTTAACACCAAGATTTGAAATAAATTAAGACAATGGGGCTGAGTGGTCATTCACAGTAATACAGTGAGCAATTCCCATCTTTTTTTTTTTCACTGCTAAGTGGGGCCATAAGGATGGCTTCAGATTGACTAGTATTCAACTGTAAATAAATTTACATATCAAGGCACTAAGTAGGCTGAGATTATGTGAGCTGCATAGTTGACTATCTGAAAATATAACTAAGTGTAATCAGCATAACAATAAAAATAAAGCAAAAGGCAAAAATATTACCAAATGGAAGCAAATCAGAAATAAAACTGATCCCAACAATGACCCCTGGGGGACACCAGAAATAACATAATTAAATGATGTACAGCATGGCTCCTAATCTCAGTCCTAGGGACAACATACTCTGTCCTTTTTGGTGCTGTAGTGTGTAATGCCCTGGAACTTGTTAATTATTTGCTGAATAGGGTGTGCTAGATAAGGGAAAACAGAAAAGTGAAGAGCATGGGGTACAAGACAAAATACATCTCTGTCTCTATTTTCACACTTCAGAATGCTTTGATGTTTGAACTTCAACACAGTGAGAGTGCAGGCTTAGAGTGTCAATACAACACAGTGTAAGATACATGAAGCAAACAGGAGCAACCGTCCCATATAGTAAAACCTAATGCATGAGCGGAGAGAAAAAGAAACTGTGGTCAGGTGTAAATCTCACCTCACCCCTGCACTGAGAGATCACACATTCAGAAAAAAAAAAACCAAAAACTTATCTCTCTCTCTCTCTCTCTCACTCTCTCTCTCTCTCTCTCTCTCACTCTCTCTCTCATACATACACACACAAAATGAGGAGGGAAGTCCAAATCTGGTTTGGTGCAGCAATATTCCCTCTACAGAGCCATCACAGGACATGCATGTGACCCTAACAGGAACAGTCATGGTTTACAAATTACTGCTGACAAATTTCACACTGCATTGTTAGACTTCAATCACATCAACCACAGCTATGTGCTGTGTTGGCAAAGAATGGTAACAAGAACAATTGCCAGTATAAGCTGACAACTCTCAGTGCAATACAGCCCCATCTAACATATTGACATCCACAAGCTATTAGCTGTACAAAGTATTGGGGACAATTTGTGTCCCCAAATCTTTCACAAAACATTTATACTCATCAGGCCTGTTACCTATAAGTCAGTAATAAGACTGACAGTAACAAGGTTTAGGCTTGCATATTCAGCCAGAAATTATATAATTTCTGTTAAAAGCCATTAGGCCACACAGTGCCTATGTGGTCACCAACATTAGTACTGCATCAATGTTAAATTAAAATAACAGTTTTGATGTGTTTAACCTGACAACCTTGTCCATAATAAAAATGCACAAAACTATTACATTAAATTCCACCATTGTTCTTCATAAGATCAAATGATGCCATATTCTGTGTACCATCCTGGGTTTATACGGCGTGGATATAATACATGCACAGATAGGCACATTTGCAGTAACAGGGCTGACCCTGGGTTTGGGGATGCAAATAAATTGTCCTATTTTTGGTAGAATGACCCAGCTACAGCTGCTATAAAAGTGTCTGGCCAAGGCATTCTTAGAAATCAGATGCTCTTGTTAGGACTGTTTGATTCCAGAAATTCTGGACTTGACTCAGATTTCAATTCCAAGTGAATCAATGGTGTCCATTCCAAGAAATACAAGAAGGCATAAGCACTTTTCACACAGTAATTAAACAGGAAGGGCTTAAGTGTGAAAGCAAGAGCGAGTCAAAATGAAGGCAAATCCAACCTGGCAATTAGTACAGTTCCTGCTGCACTACTTGCATTACTTGTTTGGTGTAAATGAGAGCTCATGTGTGAACAGAAGCTGATACTTTGCTGGGATAACGATGTGTTGACTACTGCCAGCAAAGCTGGATGATTTTTGAACGTTTTATTTTTTCACTGCTGAGTTTTCAGGCTTCATGAGTGAAAATCATCAATGGAGTGTATTTTATACATGATTCTAGTGGCAAACCACTTGAGAGAAGTGGCAATATATGCCCGTTGTGTATGCATGGCTGCTACTGCGAAAAAGCAAAGCAGCATGACCAGCACAGCTGAGCGTCGCTATGAAGTTTTTGAGTTTGGTCTGGACAGTGACCGTATAATCTCTCATCGACTGGATGTGCACAGATCACGGTGTGGAATTGAGTCAAAGCTTTGGAGTCCATTCTCATTTCCCAAATGCCTGGAATCGAATAATCAACTCTTTTTGGGATCAACTCTCAGACTCTACTTATTGGTTTTATTTCAAGCTTTGTAACTGAAATTTACATCATCCACAGATGAATTCAGAAATGCAGCACTGCTCATCTGTAGCCAGACACTGAGCGAGTGGTCATCCTGAGTACTGTCTGCTGATCTAAGGCATGCTTATGGCACTGCTGATATGATATAGAGTAAACTCTTGTCAGGGTGTGTGAGCATGCTGATAAGAGTGCATGTGCTTGCATCACTCACAAGTTCTGATTAGAGGCATCGGCTGCATGGATGCAAAGGTAGGTCATGTCCTAAGAGAGGAAACACAATTAAGCACCACAATTAAAATAAAATAAAGTACCATAATCAGAATACTGATTCACATAATTAATTACAAATGCTGCTTTGTACTGATTGAAGTCTGGATTTCATTCAGAGTGCATTCTCACAAAATCTGTGGTATTTCTCTTTTTCTGACACTTTTGGATTAACACTAACTTCCACTGAACATCATTATGTAGAAATCTGAAGACAACGTTAACTGTTTGACATTCCCGCCCCCATGTGGCCAAAACTATATATATATATATATATATATATATATATATATATATATATATATATATATATATATATAAGCAAATATCAGCTCAATACTACTGACTGTTTACTATACAGTCAATACTGTGTATTGTTACTGTTGGAACTAAAGCTTGTATCTCCAAAATGGTAACTTTTCAAGAGAAAAAAATATATATAATGGAAGTTAATCTGAACTCCCTTTATAAAAACATAGTTTAGTCATTTTGGGCCATTTCTATTGCTTTATTCATTATGAAATTTGACATTTGTTAATTTTGTTAATTAAAATTAACACAATGTAAAGTGTAGCTACTGTTTTCAAATTATGCTAAATAAGTGAATAAATAAATAAATGTCTTTCTACTCACTTCTGTACAGAGCCCTGCTGGTGACATCCCGTATAAATTAAAATAATGTGTGGCCACAACAAGTAAGGCGTGGGATGAGACAATTAAGTTGTGGCCATGCATTATTTTTAATTTATACAGGATGTCACCAGCAGGGCTCCGTACTTTTGGCCTAATCATATTAATCAATAAATAAAGAAAAATAAAGATGAAATAAAAACAGAAAGCACTATAAAAATAGCTCAACAGTACATTCAGTTGTTTGTATGCACTAAAACAAATGCAGTAGGTGGTGTGTTTGTAGCATGAATGCTGACAACCACCAATCAGCTGTAAATTTCCTTGACACTTTCATGACTGAGCAAAATGTTAACATTCCTTTAAGCATCAACATGAATGTGATTTTTATGAGCAGGATCTCTAACTTAAGTAAGGGTGGGCAGATAGAGTGACATGAAAATAACAATAGTGTTTTCTTTAAACAGCACTCTGTTTTGTTCTAATTTTTGATGCACAGAGACACAGACAGCCATGTGAGATGGCATGAGTGCTCCTTCAGCTCCTTTATGTGGCAGTGTTTTTAATTCTCACACACAGACTTGGGTAGGGTAGCTTGAGAGAAGAGTGGTAGGCCCCCCAGGGTAAGATGTCTCCCTTCTTATTTTATTTCCTGATCAAGTGATGGGGCCAAATCTAATCTAAACACATTTACTAAATGGATGTGGTCTGTTTAATACTGATATGTCATCTGGATGATCGCATTTCTGGGATTTATTCTTAACAATATTCAGCTAGCTAAATCGTTAGCTAGAATGAGGCAATATTTTTAGCTAGTGTGCTGCACATAAATTTATATATAAGTTTTGCAGTTACATCTGCACCTGTCATGTCTAATAAATAATTTGCACTTACAATGAAACTGTTTTCCTTAAATTGTTATCTACAGATTGTTATCTGTCTGTCTGTCCATCCGTCCATCCATCCACAGTCATTTGCAAAAGTTTGAACATCTCAGTCAAATGACATGTTGTGTTGAATTTCTAAGTGAAAATAAGTTAACTTTAAGTTATTAGTTGATGTTCACCTCTATAGAGAACTAAAAGTGGCAGTTTTGGCAAATTTCATTGTTTAACACATTGGAAAAACAAGTAGTAAGTATAAATGTGCCATAACTTTTGCAGAGGCCACACTGTATTGTATTTTTCCAATACAGCAAATAAACAGATTTTTTATTCAATTGTGCATTAGTGTACATCCAGCTCTGTATTAGATGTTTACTTAATTTCAAAATGAACAAAGTGTAATCTGACCAGGGGCACCCAAATATTTGCATAGGACCAGAAACCTACTCTGGCAGATACAGTTGCCATAGTTAAGAGCCACTGACTATTAGATACTAGGAAAAGTGGAAATGCATAGCTTCTCTCTGGCCTCCTACTCTCTGCACTCATATGGGAGCCTATGAAAGGATTTTTACCTCCAACACAGGCTTGGCATTGTTGTACACAGAGAGGATGTGGGTAATCCCATTCTGGGACAGACTTTCTCTGTTCTCTGAGTCTGTGGATGGAAACATTGAATGACAGAACTGTGAGCAGGAGGCATACATTATTTTGAAGAGAAAACTGTTTTCATGATGTAGCAATTCAGCAATGAAAGTCCACTACTGATAACTTGAGTCTAATTTAAAGGGATACACTTGCTCGGTATGCCGGTAAAACATCTATTTTGACTGCTCTCTGTATGCATTCATTCCAGACCTGTTCATCCTGAAGTCATGCAGTGAAACGAACATCTCTGAGCACAGCATTCATCTAGTTTCATTAAAGACAGCTGCTAGGTGTCAATCAAAAGCTGGCTGGCATTCAAACACTTGGAGACCAAGTGGTTATGTTACATAAATACACACAACAACGTTGTACAGAGTGACATAGGTAGAAGAGGAATTCATAGCTGCTGTTTTTTTTTCAGCTTTGAGGATCCATGACATTCTTTACATTATTATATAAGCATTATTTAAATTTGTAGTTACACTCTCCTTTTAGTATGTTAAAACTAATGCTTATATTGTGATATGCTTGATATATTTTGTCAAAAAAGGCATAATATGGGACACCAAACTGTCACAGCCTCAAAAGTGAGTGTCCTTAGTATGTGTTCCTGGAGTCTATTTTCAGCTGTCGAGTAACATCAGAAAACAGGGCCACCAGATTTAAGGCTAAGAACAGAAAGCCACAGACTGTCGTGAGCAGATGTCATTTCCAACCTGCACAGTGCATTTTAAGAAAGAAATAAAAAAAGGGCTATTCAGTGCATATATAAGTTGTTCAGATATTTCAAATAATAATAACATTGTTCGGTTTAGCACTACCCCTGGATGGCTTTCAAAGTACACAGTGGATACTCCTGCTAATATGGTTCTGATATAAAAAAAAAAAAAAATCAAAATTTCTTATTCAAATGTATTGCATATGCAACAACCTAAACCAGAACCCAAACAAACACCTGCAACACTAAAAGTGCTTCCAGCTATGGAAGACTAACAAACCCTGATGTGTATACACAAACAAACAGAGAGGAATATGCAGTATTTACTTCTGAATTACTGACTGATTGTTATAACTGAGCATAACAGACAATCTTTGGGAGATATAAAGAAGAAAAAGAGAAATGTTGAATATATTGTGAATACAATATATTGTTGGGAGAGAATCTATTACTTACCTCTTATATTTCCTAAATAGAGACCATCAACTACCTATACAAAAGGAGAACATTCATTCAGTACAGCGTTTAATGAGTCTTTAATTAAGAAATGTCAAGCTTATGTCAAAAACATGTTTCTCCTATTGTTTATATCATGATAGCCTAAGATTTTTATAAAGCACCCTAAATAAACAATAAAAGCAGCTAAGCAACTGCAGCTGTGGCCTTCATAGTCCAAAACTGATCACTGACTCATTTCCAACGCGCAAATTAATCATACACACTGAGCTAAAGCTGAAAGTACACATTAAAAAGGTCAAACGTATTCTTACGTGGACCTACAGGCCATGACCTTTTACACACACTGTCTCGTCCTGGGCTTACGTAGCAGTCAAACACTGAGCCTGGTCACAGTGTCCGTTACTATTCCTGCACCAACCTGCTAACTACCAAACATACCAAGCAGCTGCAGCAGTCACTTATATTAACACCAGCCTCCGAACACTTTTCCCATTTTACTGAAATTACCTTGTTCATTCCGTTCCCCATGATTGTGGAGGAGACTTTTTACATCAACAACAGTTCTCGGTGTTGACGTTTTCACTCTGGTTCACATGAAGGATAGCTGAGAGATAGGCTACACTGACAGACACTACATGCGCTCGGAGGACGGACACGAGCTGTAGACCTCGGACATCTGATCAGAGGGCAAAGCTGTGTGGAAAACGGGGCTCTGTTTACGTAAAATGATGTCCCCAGGATCCACGAGCTGTGGACGAGTTTTATTTCCTAACCAAACCACCACTCACGCCGCACTCTCGCTTCCGGACCTCGACTCAAAAATGATTGCATTGGGCGGATATTCCTGCAACATGAACTTGGTGACATCACAGCAGGGCATGATTTAACCCTTTACAGCCAGGGCTTTCGGTCATCCGCCAGGTCCGATGGAATCACTACTACAGAAAACAGCTCCTAATATTCACCAATGGTCTTGCTAAATCACTCTTTTACATTGCGTCCATCTTTATGGTGTAACATGTAATCTGCATTTTTGAGGTCTACTCGAGCCAACAGCGTGTACGGTTATTAGCTGGAGTATGAACATGGTTAAATTATAGGGGAAATCAATTGTTAGTTTCATGTCTACTAAGAAGCTTTTGGGGCATTGTGGTTGCCTCAGTCTTTGACCAAGAAAAATCTAGAAACTCCAGTACTTCACCTTGAACTTGACAAATACTTAATAAAAAACATGATCAGTAGTTGTAAATGACAAAGTGGGAATAACAACACAAGCGTTCAGTTAACTTCCCCAAACATGCTGGAATGTAGTGATCATCCTGATGATCAGCCTTCTGAACAAACTGACCCCAATTAATCCAACTAATTAGCATCTTCAGAAGTCATGGACCAACTGAATGAGGTGCGTTTGATGTTAGTTGAAGGTAAAGCCTACGGGAAGGTAGATCTCCAGGTGTAGGGTTGATGACCACTGCATGATGGTAGACCAAACAGTATTTTAAATGCTTAAAACTACTACTACTACTACTACTACTACTACTACTACTACTACTACTACTACCACCACCACCACCAATAACAACACAGCACACAACAGTAAAAGGACACATGATGACACTGGAATGACATGTTTGGTAGACACTGGAATTTTATTTATGATACACGACAACCTTAAGAGGAAGTGTTCTTCCAAAATGTATTAACTGAGGTATTGTGGACAAGCCATAAATACAGACATTTTTTTCTGATTCAAATGTTGCCTGTTAGTAAGAAGCTGTGTAACATGGTCCAATGACAGATAAACATCAACTTATTTCTTCCAAGCATTGTTCTCATAGTCCCATTTGGCTGAAAAGCCCTCAACAGGGTTGATCCTCATGTCAAGCATCCTCTGGAGCTCTTGCTGCTTGTACTCAGGGTCAAAGGTGTGAGGAACATCTCCGTACACTGCACAAACAAAAGATCAACAGAATTTCTCTTTAGTGCAAATATCACTGACGGAGTGTTGAACAAGAGTCAGAAATGTTACATATGAGATAAGTACACATATGTGACTAGAACACATACCATATTTCCTCTGCCACAGCACAACAAAACCTGTGAAGCCAACGAAGAACAAAATACCAGCGAGCACAGACTTCCACTCCCCTGTACCTTTATCCATTTCAGCAAAGCTCTCCTTGAAGCTGATGCGGTACACTGTAACAAACAAGCAAAAACTCTTGAACAGCAGGAAAGGAGTAACACAAAGACAAAAACAAAACAGTGCATATCTTCTAAAACTTCTGCCTCTGATGCATACATGCAACTTTCTCATCTTTGGACAATGCGGTCCAGGACCCCTTCTCCTTCTCCTTAAGGGACCTCTGCTCTGCGCTCAAGTCCTGGACATATTTGATCTCAGGTAGGGGAATCTCCCGCCGGTCAAAATATGCTGGGAGAGAGTAGTCCTCAACCTTCGCAACTCCTGAGAGACACAGTAAAATGTCACATTCTTTTGTTAATTCTTGGAACAAACCACAAGAATAAAAGGAAAACAACTACACAGATGTCTTGCAGTGGATATACATCAAAAAAAGGACTAGCACTCAACTTTGTGAGAATATCAAGGATTAGAGTTAAGGTTCCTGCCTTGCCTCATCAGAACAAATAAGTGAGACAAATATACATCATCTCAGTTCTTAGGCATAATCATAGCATGAGCATTAGGGAAATTTAATGACTTTTACTCATACTTTTGGCAACTGCCCTACTCAGACATTTATTATCCATGAATTTCTCAAGAAAAGGGACACTCCACTGGCAGAGTTCTGTCAGGGGAAACAGTAAAAAGTTGAGCAATATTTTATTTGGCCTTGTGTGGACCTTTCACAGCTTGTGGAGATGAAAAGAATCACAGTTTGACCTATTCCTGCTTGCATTTCCTCAGACTCATAAAATATGCAATCATAACATTTTCATGCGAAGTTACATTTACAAGGGACTTTTTAATCCACAAGTTCTTACACAGTTAGCTGCATGTTGGTGACCGCATCATGACTGTGGGTCACTGTTGTCGTAACACTCCACAATACATGATACATATGACAATATTTAGTTTTTCTGAGGTTTGATCAGTTGGAACTGATAAAAATCGCTGTATTGCTGTAATTAAAAAAAATACTTTCAACATCTGAGTACAATGATCTTAATTCAATGTTAAGCCATTAAACAGGACTGCTCATGCTCAATTTGAAATGAAACCTGAGGTTGGTCAGTATTCTCAGAACAGCGCCCTGTAACATGACGTGTAACGATAACATTTTGTCGTACTGCACCCCTAAGTAAAACGTATTCAAATAAATACATACATACTTAAATAGATGGATGGATAGATAGACAGACAGACAGACAAATAAATCAATACAGACTTACCATGCCCACCACGTAGGCAGACTGAAGTTGACAAGGCTCGTTTGCCAACAAGACGAAATGCCCTGGTAGCCAGCATTCTGTAAGGTAAACAAGGTCGCATCACATTTAAAAGTAGCTATTTATAAAAGAAAAAAGGCTCATATCTAGCTACTCCACTTTCTTCTAATAATGTTTTACCTTTTCTGAATCATGGCCAGTGACAGTACGTTAACGTTACAGTACTTTTTAACAGTCTGACTAGCCACGAAATATTATTTAGATATGAGTAAGAAGGCCAAACACTTCTGTTATACTTGAGTTGTAAAACAGCATTATACCATAACATACTCAACATTATAACTCGTTTATCCTACTGGGTAAATAAGCGCTACTACTGCTAATCAAGGATTCTCAAGCTATGCAATCAGTTAGCAACGCAGCTAGCATCTTCCTGGAACTGTCACAAGGTCACACTAGGCTTGCGCTCAACAGACAAAACAAGTCCACCTCTCGGACAGTGCCTGTGGTGGCAGCCAACCTCGGCATATATTCCACACCCGAATGAGATAGTTATTGGCTACTGGAAGCTTCACAAACACAGTTCAGCGGCGTTATTAGCCGAGCGACAGTGCTAAACAGTCTGCATTGTGCAGCGGAAGGAAGCGGCGCCGTCAGCCGCCTCAATGTCACAATGTTCCCTCTTTCAGAACATTAAAACCCCTCACTCTGAGAAAGCTCACTAAACAGAGACGCGATGTTAACGATAAGAGGTTTTACAATCATTATATCCAGGCTATATCAATTACATAGCCCTAAAATAAACCACAAACCCAGATTTCCCCGCTCACCCACCTCTCCGCTTTCGGCCGCTGTCTGTCCGCAACGGATGAAGGAGGATGAACACGCCGGAAACACGCCAGGCCGCGGCTGCTGAGCACTGTGGGTAAATAATTAAGAGTAAAGAAACACATAAACTAAACTCTTATTACTGATATGCTTGATCATTGATAAACATTTTAAATGTAATGGTTTTAAATGTATTAAATAAAAATGTAGTTATAGTATTTTTTTTTCACATTTTTACATCGCTGGTTTACGACAGTGGCGGACCATGAAACCGAACAGTGGGATCAGCCATTTTGGCTCTTCGCATGTTTAAAGCACTTTTAGACATTACAAGTATCTATAACCAACATTTTTTCTCCAATATGTTTGTTATCTCCTCCTTGTAATGTTTAGCACAGACTTTCTTCTCAGCCCACAATAGCAGCCTATTACTTTACCGATAACTAATAAAACTGCCCTGTTTCACTTTTATCATGAAGAATATTTTGAATGTTTTTTTTTTCCCAAAATCAATAATTCCAAAGCTTCTAAAATTGCTTTTTGTCTTTTTTTGAGGGTGTAAAGATGTTAAACACGTCCAGTTTACTCACATATTCACCATTAGAAAAATAAATACAGTAATACTGTGAGAACATTTGAGATTTTTATCTTGCTGTATAATTCTGTAATAAACCTCTCTGGATTATTATCATGTACTGTCTAATAGTAATCTATAACGTGTAGTATCTTTTTGTAATTGTCAAAATGTACTGTAAGATTCATGTAGAACATGGATTGCTTGGCTTTACTGATCACCCTTAACAAAGCAGATAAATATTATGTTTTTTTTTAAACAATGATAGTCAAATTCTATATTCATAAAAAGATTTTAATACAAAAAAAACAACAATTTGGCTGCATATGTAAATAAACACAAAAAAAATTTGAAAGTGATTTTATTTTCAAAAAATAAGAAAGCTGTCAGAACTCTCACTGCGCAACTTCTTTGATATTTTTCTGTAATGTTAAGTTTGTGATATTGTATGATGTCTACATTTGAATCCCCTGGCTTTCTATGTATATCCTTGTTGTCTTTATTCATTTATAATAATCCGTTTTATCTGAGATCATGCCTGTGTTCCAGATAGTTGACAGAAATTTGCAGTACGAGTGTTTCTCCAAGACGGACTAGAAAGTCTGTGGCGCGGATGGCGTCACTGTCACACATCCTACGAGGCTCCCAGTCACCATCGCTGGGATTTGTAGTTCACTTGTGGTTTGTGTTTCAGTTGTGTCTTCACAATTAATTCACAGTTAATTCACAGTAAGTAAGTCGCCTGTGATGAAATAAGTGGCGATTCAAAATGGTCTGAACGTGACCAGCAAATGGTGTAAATCTGCACCTTCCTTTCCCAGACCTCGGAGCCGAAATGGAGGTCTGCTGAACAAGTCGCAAAGCGTCGTAGTGGTTTACGGTCGTTGCCGGTGCACAGTTCAGAGCCCATTTGAACCAGCGTGTAATTAGGAAGAAGGCACTGTGAGCACCAGCTCGTGATCTACAGTCTTTAGATTTTTATATTAAAGATACAGGATTGGTCTGCCGGACGACGACAACAAAATAGTTTAAGACCTTGGCGCCCGATAAAGGCACTGTGTCAAAGTACAGGGAGTCTACTAGTTTATGAAAGTCGGTATGAAATCGGAAAGATAGCTAGCGAGCTAGCCAGCCTGTTAGCCTGTGAGACTGTTGAAGACATTCTGCTGTAGCTCGATATAGTTACAGCGGCTGCGCCTTGTAACTCGCTCTGGTTCGTTTATATGCCAGTCAGTCAGTTGGCCTTGTGAGAGTGAGAATGCTGAAGTTGACGACTCAGGCGTACTGTAAGATGTTACTGCACGCTGCGAAGTATCCTCATTGCGCTGTTAATGGGCTACTAGTGGCTGAGAAGCAGAAAGAGAAGAAGAAAGAGGGCCACGCCGGCCCCATACTCTGCGTGGACTGTGTACCCCTGTTTCACGGCACTTTAGCGCTGGCTCCCATGTTGGAGGTGGCACTTACACTGGTGAGATGGACACAGTGACAGTGTTCTGTTTGTTCTGGCTTATTTATGTTTGATTTCCAGAGCTGTTGTAGGACCTGCGAGTCTTGTCAGACTCTTAAAGGAATGGTTTATGTTTGGTGTCTGGAGCTACGATACTAATGTAGCTAAAAAGTAATGTAAGTCTTTGCCACTGTTACTCAACCATGGTCCTAGAGGCCCACTGCCCTGCACATTTTAGTGCTTTTCTTGCTTTAACACAGTCATTTTGACTCAATAATAGGCTGTTAAAGAGCTGATGAGTTGGATCAGGTGTGTTGGGAGCAGGGGAAACACTAAAAAGTGCAGGGCAGCGGGCCTCCAGGACCAGGGTTGAGAAACATGGGTCTGTGTCATCCGAGATCTTCTTGGGCGACGGGTGTACAGTGGCCTTGTAGCTCAAATGAAGAAGTTAAGAAGTAACTTTAAGACAGCAAAAACCTGTTGACTGATTGAATAGGTTTGGGGTAAGGGGTGGTTTAATGAATGGTTCCTTTAAGCTTAAGCTATCCATTGTCACTTTGAGAATGTGGACAGCCCTGGCTTGCTTGAGAATGACAGAGCGTTCAAGTGAACAGTTTGTATTTCATATTGCAGTATGCTGTTTGGTCATGATTGTTTTTTTGTTTTTTTTTCAGATTGACACATGGTGTAAAGAAAACAAATACGTAATAGCTGGTTACTATCAAGCCAATGAACGCATAAAGGAAGTGAGGTAAGATATAGTCTGCTTTACGTTTTGTGAGAGTTTTGCCGCTCTGTTTTTTCATATGCATGTTGTGATGTGTATATCTCAACCTTTTCTAGACCCAATCAAGTTGCTGAAAAAGTAGCAGCGAGGATTTCAGAAAATTTCAGTGAAGCGGCAATGATAATAGTAAGTTGTCAGAAGTCTCTTAAGTGTAGGATAGAACTAAAGTACAACTCCTGTGCAGTTATGCAAATAAAATTGCATTATGTTGTCTTTCAGTTGGACAACAGCAGATTTACTATGGGATGTTTTACACCGATCCTTTCCATTTACGATCATCTTGACAATAAGTGGAAGTGCAGAGACCCAAGCATGTGAGTACCTTTCATTTCCAGTGAATCTGGAAAATCAACATTAATGAACAAGGATGTGACTGAATTTACAGAATGATTACAAATTGTAGGTAATATAAATAGTGAAAATGCGGTATTGTAGATTTTGTCGTATGAAACAGTCTACCATCATATCTGATACAGGCTGTATTATTTTTTAATGATCTCATTTCTTCTTGCAAAATTTGATAGGCTTGGTAGATGAAGTGTGAGAGTAGGACTTGGACCACTTTGTGATATTAGCATGTAGTGTTCTTAATATTTGTCCTGTTTTTGTCTTCTAATCACTTTCCTTACTGTATTGCCTTTAAAGACAGTTTCTCAAACTTAAGTCTTATCAGGCTCCAACACTGCAGTTTAGTGTTTCCTCTCTTCCAACAGACTTGATTTATCTCATCACTTAATTATAGGTAAATAGGTTGAATCAGGTGTATCTGACAGGGAAAACACTAAATTATGCTTCAGGAGTTGTGCTAAAGATGTTGCAATAGGTCAGTGAAAACAACTCTTAAAAAACAAACTCAATCTTAACTCCATCATGGTGCCCTCCAGTTTGTCATGTCTGCATCAGGCACCAGCACATATTCAGTGTTTATATGCCGGTGTGTTCACATTTACCAAAAGAGGAGTTATAAAAAGTAGTAAAATAAAATTAATATGGATTCATTTTTTTGTGGTTTTGGCCATTAATCACCTTACTGTGGCAGGCCATAAGTTGGAGGGAGCATTAACTAGCCTTCACCATTTGAGAAATGGCTCAGAGAAAACACAAAAAAACATACTGCCCTAGAAATTGTAGGGGGAGCTGAAATATTATTGGTTAATATTGTTTGTCCTGCCTGGCTAGCGCACGGTGAGATAATCAAAAATCAGAAGTTGATTTGGAGGCAGGCAAAAGTCATTAGGTTTTGATTTAGACAAGATTTGTGTGTAGTACTTTGTGTGATTCATTGTATGTGCTGTATAGTGAATACAACAATTTGCCTTCAGATAGACGTTTTAGAGTACCAAAGTCAGGACTTAAGAGATTTAGATACTCTTTTATCCCTCAGTCAGTTATGATACTTAATCAAAGAGTGAACTGTTTAAATAAGTACACCTGTAGTAAGATGGATATCTGTTGTGCAGTATTAGGGGAGTAGGGGGTATAATGGAATTTGGTAACGGTATAAAGTGTATTGTTGTGGTTTGTTGTAAGATGTTTGCGCTTGTCTGATTGTTTGTGAAAGTATGTGTGAAAACTGTGGGTTTTAGTAAGAAATTTCTTCTTAAGAATGGTTGGTGAGTGAAGACCATAGTTTCAGGCATCAGGTATTTGTATGCATTTCATGTGAAAACATTATGTAGAAATCAACATTTTACATCACATCACTTTGAATGATGTTGTTTACACATTAATGGTATTAATTTATGTGGATTTTTTTGTTAAATCTGCAGATTTCTCATTAAAAAAACGTTTGTCAGTGGTGTGTTCTTAAATTTGGTGTCTTGTAGACGCATCTCTGACTAATTTAGATGTTTTGATGCTACCACTTTATTGTTCTAAAGGTGCTGGCCCTTTCACTGATTTGACCACAAATTGGCCATAAAGATTTTCTATTCTTAACACTTACTGTTTATACTCCTGTGATGTACAAGATGACTAATGACTGGTGAATTTCAAAAAAACCCTTCCAGAGACTCGTTTGAAGATTGGACAGAAGCTCAGAAGATCACATCAGCCTTATTGGAGAGCAGGTCCTATGAAAACCTCATAGACTTTGACAACCACTTGGATGACCTCAGGAATGATTGGACAAATCCTGAAATCAACAAATCGGTGTTGCATCTATGCTGAAGTTGTCCAAGGGGTCTACTTTACCTGTCCAAGCCATCAATGCCAAAATGGGTTGTATATTGTTACTGTATTCAGTCCCATAGAAAAGGTTCTTCCCAGTGGGAAAAGCTCAGAAATGAAATTTCTAAAGGGCAAGCAGGACATAGGTACCACATGTGCTGTTTGAGATGATTGTGATCTTCATGGCATGGATTATTTTTTAAACCTGTTGTCAGGCAACAGTTTGTATGCATCCATTTGACGCACAACCTTATTGCGGCATTTCAGTTTATTTGATGGGCAGTTATCTGCAAACTTTAAGCCAGCCCACCTTTTCATATGCCATTAAATATTCTTTTTGTAATTACTACTACAGTTTTCAATCTGACCTTCACTTCATTGTTGATTTTCATCTTTTATGAACAGTGTAATCTGAATTAGCACAGAACTCTTTTGTTTCTTTTCATAGCTTGGGAGAAACTGATTGGATGTGTGTGTTGCATTGGAATTTGAATAGAAGTGGCAGTGTTGTGTATTACTCGGCATGGTTTTAGCAGCTGAATTGGTCAGTTGGTTATTTACCAGTTGCTGTTATTTACCAACGAACCTGTATTTAAATGCTGAAATACGGTTTGGTGTGAGGACATATTTTAACATCTATACACAATACAAATGTAAATGCTAGAGAATGATTGAAATGGTTTTAACTTAATTGCTTTTCTTGTTTGTTTTTCCTGAGTTACTGTAGCCTTACAGAGATAATTAATAAATAATCTTTCAGAGGTCATTTAAATGAAAGGTGTTTCTCATTTCATAAACAGTTTAATGTATATACTTCTTTCAGTACGCAGCATTAAAAGGAGTTTAGTCTTAATATATAAACAGTTTTAAAGCTCTGCTGTTATGGTTTTACTTTATTAAGGCGTAGGTAATATTTGTGTGGAAAAGACTGCTTTGGAAATATACATAATTCTGTAATGTTCATTAATGACTGAAAAATATAATGTAATTTCATAATTAGAATCAGGTGGAAGGTGATTAAAATTAGCTTTTGTAAAAGTAAGAATAAAATGTTTTTTTAAAAAATCTGTTTAGCTTTGTATTTATTTGCTTGTTTTGGTAAAACACTTTAAAAGGTGCTCTTCTTGACTAAGTTTCTCAAAAATATTTTAACGCTGTGAAAATATTTTTAAATACAAGTAGATATTTAGCTGCAGAGTCTTACCAGTTAGTAATCATTTTGTCTTGCTTTCTCAGTAATTTCAGATGGTTTGCTATGTTAAAAGACATGAGAGATTAAGAACAGGATGAAGTAAAATGCGAGACCATCTAATGACAAGAATAAGCCTATTTTTTCAAAATATTAACTGAAAGGCAGGTGCTTTTGCACTAAAGAACCTTGTAAATCGTGTCCAAAAAGACTTTCTGTTGTCTCTTTAAATCATAACAGCATGACATTGTTTCATTTGTCTGTAGCATCAAAATGCTAATGCATAATATGTGGAAATGTTACATGTTAGTTTGCTTTCTTGAATGATCTTCGCATCAGATCATTGCTGCCTTTTGTTATTTTTGTTTTAAACAAGTTAATGCAGATTTCTGACTGGTTGATTTTTGTTTTACAGACTCAAATCATCTCTACCTTAATAATGTTGTGGTTTTGCTTTGGTGTCTAGAATCATTTTCATATTCAAAAAGCCTGAGTTCTAAATTCTAAACTTCAGACAAAATCTTTTAAAAACTCCTGGAAGGTTTAAAAAAACCTTCATATAATGTACAGGTTCCAATTGAAAGGCTCTTCCTAGAACTTCTATTTATACTTTAAACAGATTCTTCTCACTCACACATCTCATTTACAAAAATGATTCACTATCCATTGAAGATGTTTACAGAACCAAAGGTGGTACTTCCATGGCAAAGAGCAAAGAACGCTTTTTAGCACCTTTATGTTTTAGGAGGCACTTAATGTACTTCTGCTCATGCAGTGTTTGTTCTGAAATCAGGAGTATAAATTGGGACTTGCCTGCCTTTTTCAGCAGTAACAGCCTGTACTCTTCTGGGAAGGCTGGGGTCAGGCACTGATGTTGGATGATCAGTTGTGGCACTCAGAGTCATCCCAAAGGTATCGGATGGAGCTCCATCACTTCAGAGAACGCAGTTCCACTGCTCCACAGCTCAGTGCTGGGGGGGCTTTAAATCCCCTCTAGCTGATTAGCATTGGGCATGGTCACCTTAGGCTCCAGAGCATCTCATTCTATTGGTTGGTGCTTTTCTACAGAAATTAGAGAGTATGTGTGAATGTGTCAGCACTAAAAAGAAGGGCAGTCTACAAATGTCAAGGCCTTTGAATGGCAAGATTTCTGAAACATTATTATTATTATTATCATTATTATTATTATAGTAAACTATGCTTACTGACTTTGTGATAATGTACCTGTATTGCGAGGCCCCTAAATATTAGTCATGTCATGTATTTTTCTTGACGTTAAAAAGAAAAGAAGAAAAGAAAGCGCTCTGGCGCCCCCTGGTGGTGAAACCGCGGGCTGCCTGCGCTCTGAAAAAAAACACGAGGCAGTGACGTCATACAACATGTCTGAATAATACGCGGGAAAAGCAGCACTGCCTGTTTTCAGGGATCAGCGACAGCATTGACAACATTTTTCAGCGTTTCATTGAACGATGGATCCGTTGGAAGTCGAATTTCTCGCCGAGAAGGAAATGGTGAAGATCATCCCGAATTTCAGTCTGGATAAAATTTATTTAATCGGGGTGAGTAACTTAGTCTGCATGTACAGTAAGATTGTTAACGCATTCATACTGACTGACTGTACTGAGTAGCTGTGTAAACACAATACAGCGAGTTCGTAGCGGGACTGAAGTCAGCTTTGTATTCGCCAGGTTTTGTTTTCATTTTTCCCACCCTAAATAGTGCAGCGGTTACACTCTGGAGCCTGAGGTGTCTTAATGTAACAGCTGCACCATATAAGGCGGAAAAAACGATCAAGAACCGAATACACAGCTGACTTCAGCCTCGTTATGTAGGCACATTTCATTTTGTACATCATTATCTAACAGTAACGTTAACTGTTCGACAACTCTTAAACCAGATTCTCGATCGCACGGTTTTTACTTGTAATCACGAAAAGCTGTGGACTCCATTTGTAGGGAGACTTGGGTCCTTTCAACCCTGGTCTACCGGTGGATGTGCCTGTTTGGCTGGCCCTTAATCTGAAGCAAAGACAGAAGTGTAGAATAGTTCCTCCGGACTGGATGGACGCAGGTAAATCTGACCTCACGCTATGTTATTGAGTATTTTCTGTTTTGCTGAAAATTCAGCATTATTTCAACTACAGAAATGCACACTGTACGTCTCTATACAGTCGAAAGCAAATATCACAATATAACACGTCAAATTGGGAGACAATGTGCCGTAACTTCTGCACAGGCCACACTTTGTTTTGTTTTACTTTTGTCCAGAATGTTACATTTAGAAAATGAACAGTAACTGTGCATTAGAATGTGCAGAAGTGTCTTCTCTGTGGAGGATGTGTTTATTTTCACCTAGAAAAATCAACAAAACATTATTTGAACTGGGGTGCCCAAACTTTTGCATGTTACTGTATGTACGTACAATGTCTGTGATCTTAACAGTTGATAAATTTGCTACTGGAAAAATACTAATTCAGTATAAATGCTGAAATAAGGTTTTTTGAAGTATGTGTTTTAAGACCCATGGAACTTATAAAAATGCAGGTGATGATTAAATCACTTTTGGTCACTTCACTAATTCTTAATTGCTTTAACTTAATAACATTTAGACCAGAGTTATTTTGGTATTTGTCTTGGGAACCACTGGATTAATTTTTACTAATTCCACAGCTTGTTGCGATCTGACCAGATGTCTTATTACTAAAAGTAATTGCTAATTTTTCTGTGCCTTGTAGATAAATTGGAAGAGATCAGGGAGCAGGAGAGAAAGGAGGACGCCTTCACACCAATTCCCAGTCCATATTACATGGAATTGACCAAATTGCTACTGAACCAGTAAGAGTGTTTCAGTTTCAGTACTATATTGAAGAGAAACAAATCATGTTAAACACAGTGTATCAGTATGTAACACGTTGATACGTCCCTCTGTCCTTTCATAGGGTCTCTCATTTTCCATCTTTCATGGATCAAAACTAGGCATCTGATTGGGGTGGGGTGGTCCTAAGATGCACACTGATCATGAATGTGTTATGGTTGATTCCTATTCTGGTTTCTTAACAGCCAAACAGTCTGATGGCTGTTTTTTTTCTATTTTAAACCCGAAGCTCACAGTGTGTAGACTCAGGAAACGCACTCACATATTAACAGTAATTTCTAAGTCGCAGTATAAATACCATTATTTGCTCTTTAATGGGCTGAACTGGCATTTTAAAAGGCCAGTCGTGAATAAAAAATTCCATACTTAAATAACATGAATCAATTAAACTGATACATCAAAAGTAGGAGGCAGTTGGCTGTTAAGCACAGTGAGTCTTGTGTAATTATGCTACGACATTTTGGTAGAGCTGTAAAATAAGCGTTCAAGTACAGTGCGAGGGCACTTACTTGCCTTGCTTTATTTACAATGCCCTCCACAAATATTGCCACCCTGGTAAACATGAGCAAAACAGACTGTAAATAACATTCGTTATTGCTTATCATTTTGACCTTTCATTCAAAAAATCTAACATCTATTTGAAGTTCAGTGATTGAAAGACAAAAACTAAATCTTACCATGAAATAACTATTTTTCTCAAATCCATATGTGCCACAGTTGTTAGCACCTTCTAAAAATTTTGTAAGTGAAATCTAACTGAGTATATTCCCATTCATATTTTATGTTTTAAAGTAATAGCAAACACTTAAATGGTCAGGCATGACTCCCTCTTTCACTGGGGTATAAACGAGGTGATACACAGGCTCAGTTCCCTCAGTCATCTGTCACTACAAGAAAGACCACAGAACACAGCAGTGATTGTTGATCTGCACAAATCAGGAAATGGCTACAAGGAAATAGATAAACAGTTGAAAATGCTCATTTCCGCTATCAGAGCAATTAAGAATATGCTGGGAAGAGGGCATATGTCTATACTGACCCCACGTACAGTGAGGATCACGGCAGACGTTGGTTAGGTCTTGGGGTCAGAGCATCTCCCAAACTACAATCAGATGCCACCTATATAACCACAAGTTGTTTGGCAGGATTGCCAGAAAAAAGCCTCTACTGTCAAGGACCAACAAACTCAAGAGCCTACAGTTTGCCAGACTTTACAGGAACTTTCAATGAGGCCATGTTTGATGGTCAGCTAAAACCAAAATGGAGCTTTTTGGCAACAAACAGCAGACGTTTAGAGGGTATGGTGTAGACACAAAGATAGAAGGGAAAGTACCTCATCCGCACTATAAATTATGACGGAGGATCTCTGATGTTGTGAGGCTGTTTTCTTCCAAAGGCCCTGAACAGCTTGTTCAGATACATAGTATCTTGGATTCCATTAAGTACCAGCAAATATCAAATCAAAACCTGCCTGCCTCAGCCAGGAAGCTTAAGCTGGGCTATGGTTGGATCTTCCAGGAGGACAATGATCCAAAGCACACCTCAAAAGAAACACAGAAATGGTTCACTGTCCATAGAATCAAGGTTTTGGCATGGCCACCCAGTCCCCTGACCTAAACGCCTTAGAGAACTGAAGAGGAGAGTCCACAGTGTGAACCTCAGAATCTGAAGGATCTGGAGAGGTTCTGTATAGAGGAAAGGTATCAGGTCCTTTATGTGTTCTCTAGTCTTATTAAGGATTATAGGAGACTCAGAGCTGTTATCTTTGCAAAGAGAGGCTGCACAAGGTATTCAGTGAAGAACTGTGGCACACACAGATTTGAGAAGAATATTTATTTCATGATAAGATTTAGGGATTTTTTTTTCAATCATTGTACTTTAAAGGTTAGATTTTTATTAATATTTTGAATGAAAGATCAAAAGGATAAACAATAAAGAATGTTTTTACAGTCAGTTTTGCTCATGTTTACCAGGGATCAGAAATTTGCAACATAGATTAGCCAGAATCAAAATAATATTTAATAAATTAATAAAAATGTATTCATGAAAACCTGCAGATTCTGATCTTGTCCGATTCTGATCGTCTTATGCTATGCTTGCAACCACACTCAAATGACTGGGCATTTTTTTTTAAGTCGTTAATAGATTGAAGAGGTTGTGATTTTTAGTTCTTATTTTGTTAGAGGGCTGAATGACAGACATTGAAAAAGTTCTGTTTGGAGACTGAGCCACATCATTTTGTTAAATACGTAATTTGAGCTCTATAACACAAAATATCAAAAATTCACTTTGAGTTTTGACGACAGAATTTAAAATTAAATCAGACCTGAAAACATGAGTGATTACACCCTGTGAACCAGTATGAACTGATGCTCATTCCCCATTTGCATTAAACCATGTAGTGGTATAATGGTTTTAAATGCAGATATATGAATAAGCTGAAAAGGAAGACATTTTGTGTGTGTGTGTGTGTGTGTGTGTGTGTGTGTGTGTGTATAGTGGTTCCTTAAACTCATATTACAATTAATGTTACAGTGTGATTATTCTGGTCTTCATCTCAAATAAACAGTTTGGAATAAAACATGTAAATCCACACATTTTGCATACTGATGTTAAATATAGAAATGCATCAAAAGTTTTTAGGTTTTTAAGTTTTTCCAGTACAAAAAGTTCATATTGCAGATTGAGTTTCTTTGTGTATTAATCCATGTAAAATCCTTAATGCAGTGCTGCAGACAACATCCCCAAGGCTGATGAAATCCGGACGTTGGTAAAGGATATTTGGGACACCCGTATTGCAAAACTGCGCCTGTCCGCCGACAGCTTCATTGGCCAACAGGAGGCTCATGCCAGGGTAAACTAGAAATAACTGACACACCCACTCAGTAACTGAATGAAGTAATTGAGGCTTATACTCTACCAGTTAGCATTGTGCAAACTATGGTGCCTTGTTTCAAACCATGTGGAGTGGTTTATCTTTGTCCACTTACATCCTAAACTGAAATGATTGTGTATTTTTTTTTTCTCTCTAGCTGGATAACCTCACACTGATGGAGATCAACACCACGCGCAGCTTTCTGCTGGACTCCTTGAATTTCATGTACAAACTGCGCTCCAACCTCCAGCCAGGCTCAGGCTTGGGCAAGTCGCAGGATTACTAAGCTGCAGTGCATCAGGACAGGACTAGCATGACCTTACACTGCAGTCCACTCTTATTTCAGAGCTTTCCAGCTGCAGCTCTAGCGATTCTGAGCAGTATGATTACATTTGTTTCATGCTGTGGAACAAGCGGCTGTCTTTCACTCCTGTCCACCATGTGTGAGTGCTGTCAGGCTGGACAGGTTTCTTCTGACATGCTGCTGTGATTTCAGCCCTTTCATGAACACTGTAGCAGCACAGCTAAATGGAGGACTACAACACAGGCCAAACTGTTAAACAAATACTGGATGCAAATTCTTTGAAAGTGCAGATGTGAGATGTTTTTATGTCCAGTGTTCATTAAGTTCTCACTCCAACAGCATTTGTTTTTCCCTCTTTTTTTCCCTGTTAATCTTCTGGTCTATCTCTTGTCATGTTTGTAAATGATTGTAAATGATACCAGACACAAATACAGTTAATAAAACTGATGCCACTGGCACAGCATGTTTAAGATCTACCCATGGATTTTCAGTGATGTTCAATCGGGACTGTGAGGGCCATTCCAAACGCTTTCGACTTTGTTTCTTGAAGTAGTTGGTGGATTTTGAGGTATGTTTTTAACATTGTCCTGTTGTATAAGCCGGCCTCTTTTTCAGCTTCAGTTTCTTGTCTAGTTGAGTCACATTTGCTTCCAGATTTTGCTGATATTTAGTAGAATGTTTCCTGGGCTGCTGACTGATATACACCTCAAAGGATAATAGTCACCCCTATGCTTAACAGTTGGCAAGTTGTTCTTTTCATCAAATACTGCTTGTTTTTTTTTTCTTTCACATATACCTTTGGTGATTTATGAAATTTCATTTTGGCTTATCTAGATGTTTTGCATACTTTACACATTGAATTTTGTGATGTCATGGTTAATTTGCGGATCATGTTTGCACCTCCACTCCTGTGTCAGCTAAACCTTCCAGCAGGACCTTTGCTGTCATGTGTGTGTTTTCTGGCCCGCATACAAGCAGTTAGCTGAGTTTTCTTGATATTCCTATTATGGTTCCGCTGTTCTCAGTGGGAACCAGCTGAGGTCAATCCTGTCACTTCAACAAACCTGATTTGAGCTGGCATGCGCAGGAACAATATCAGAAATAATTTGTCTTTGCTGCGTAGTCCAAATCGGGTTTCCGGTGTGCTGCCCAATCGCACATCACTCATAAACGTCCATGAGGCGCCATTTTAAACTCCTTTAACTGGAGTTCAAGAGTGCTTAACAATACAGGGCGATTCAAAAAGATTAATTTGTATAACAGTGGTGTTAAAATGTTTTATGTCAGCCTGTGTTCAGGAAATGAATGTATTCTTTTGTATTAAAAATGTTTTAGCATTTATAACCTATAATTTTACTTAAATGCTCCATATTAACCCATTAACCACATTTTGGACTCGCTCTGGAGTGCCCTCTAGTGTAGGTAACAACTCTCCTCTCTGCAGATTCTCTGATCTTACCCCCTGGTTTCCAGTCGTGGTTTTCGCAGTGTTATTGGATGAGTCACACATCTCACAGTCTTCAGGCAACAACTCTGGGAGGAACCTCTAAAGGCATAGGTAGATATGTGTGTGCCTGACCTTCTGTAAACTTAAATATATTCCTAAACAAACACAACTGTATTAAAATAGTGACACATTTTACTGTTAACTGTACTGGCTTGCATGATAATGAATGGTTCAAATCAGGTAGCGAGGAACGCTTTATTTTATTTATTTATTTATTTTTTTTATTGAAGCAAAGCATAGTACACAACATCATATGCATATAGAAAATATACATATAACAGTGTACACATACATGAATACATTTGCTAGGGGGATTTACATAACTACACAGAAATCTTGAAGTACATACATGCTTTGACAGTTTTAATAGCTTTTTGTTTAAAAAAAAAAGGGTTGTATTAATCCAATATAATGTTCAATCTCCTTTTCAAAGGCAACAAAAATGGGCCTTTTCCCTGATAATTTACATTTAACATAGCAATTAAAATGATAAGATTTATCATATATACATGTGGGTATTTAGGTTTGTAAGATATTTAAACTTTTTTTACATACCGACAGTGCAAAAATAGATGAATGACTGTCTCTGGATAGTTACTACAGAACGAACAAGTCATTTCAATGTAATGTTTAAATATTATTAAGTAATTTTTAGCTGGGTAGATTTTATGTGTAAGTTTATATGACACTTCTTTAACTTTATTAGTAAAGGTATCTGTTAGAAATTAGCCTGATCTTCTTCCACTGAATGTCTTTGAGAAATTGATAGATATGTTACTCTTAAAAATCTCCTATTGTATAGCAGAATCTGTTGGTGTAAGATTAGGTCACTGTTGATAACTGTTAGGAGGAAGTCTGACACTGTGCCGGCACCTTAATGACGCAGATTTACTACGTACAGTTCAAATTACCGCACTGTTTGTAGAAGCTGCCCAGCATCACCAATTTTAGTTACTACTTCCTAATAGTGATCACTGTAAAATGAATTTAGAAGTGATTTAATAATAATAATAATGAGAATAATAATAATAATAAGAAGAAGAAAAGAATTACTCAAGTTGAATTTATGAATAAATAAATATAAAAAAATGCATAAGAGCAAAAGATTCAAAAACCAAAGGTTATAAAATTGTCTTTTTGAATTTATGTACTGTGGGCGCCTGTCTGTATCAGTAAATTGTTTTTGGTGCACCAAACAGTTTCAAACATTGAATTTGGATTAAATTAACATTGTTAAGAATTACTGTTTACCACATCTTAGTTTATTAAGCTAATTAAGTATATAGTACCTGTGACATTTGCAGAAGGATGCTATTTTTTTGGCCAGGTGTGTCCAAGACTGCATAAATGTATAGATGTGCAACAATACATTGATATTTATTGTTGATTGAAGCAGTCTTTTCTTTGTGCAAAAGTTGATGTAATATAACACAAAATTACTGCTTAAAAGCATTCGGATATTTCTGTATTAATGAAGCAGCTATTACACAGGCAAATTTTTGAAGCCAAAATTCTGTTCGTCCTTTAATTCAGAGGCATCTGTCATGCTTAAACTGCTGACTCAAACAGCAATTACTTTTAATGGAACAGGACTGCCCTTTCAGTTGGCTGTTAGATGCATTATGTGGCTCTCCTGGTGAAGCTTTTCTACAGTTGGAATACAATCTGAATGCACGATAGTACTCAGTAATGAGGTTTAGTATACATTAAATAACTGTATAGATGAAAAAGGGTCAAAAGAAATGGGCAGTAATTTGAAGTGAACATACGATAATCATGAAAGGATGTATATTCCTGTCTGTGTTTGAAACCCATGCTATCCCAAGATAGGAATATTTTAATAGAATTGGTATGGTTCATCTTCTAAAACATAACATAAATCAAATAATCAGCCTAGCATCTCATACCCCATCCAATTTAACAGTAAATGTAATTAAATTTTAAATTCAGAGTTCATTAGTAAAGATGGTAAGGGATAAAGATAAGGAAATAAATAAACACTGAACAAAACATAATTTGTTTGTTTTCATGGTTTAAAAAGCAAAAACAGTGGTTGACTGAATCATACTGTCCCAGTTAATGTGAAACAGAACAGGCAGAAATTCATTTTTGAAATATTTTATTTTTTTTGTCTGAAATTACAGCAATATATTCATAAATACCTAATTACTACATTCAACAAAGAATATATTACATTACATTGAATTCAAACAAGTACATTTTTTTGATAAAAACATGATTTCACAGCATCTAGACATCCTCCATTGAATTCGGGGGCTATTGCGTGTGCGTGCGTGAGTTGGGCGAGGGGAGAGAGGGCGTTTCCCTGCTCCTGGACAGGCAGTGGTAGTGCTCGCTGAAGCAGACACACACACACACACACACATACATACATACATACATACATACATACATACATACTTGCACAAAGTCAATGCTCTTTAGGGCCAGCCTTGGATCTGTAAACATGGAACCACCTCCAAAACCTGCCCATCCTGCGGGCCTCTGAGCGTACTAATGAAATGAAACTTGGGATGGAGTGAGGGGCCCAAGAATAAAAGCACAGCCTTTTTTCAAGTACAATATCATGGCCTTGCACTCCACAGCCTGGCCTGGGTTTGGATTAATGCTAAAATACAAACCGCAGTACATACTGTTCCAAAGCATTTGCTAAGTCAGTCCATGAATATAAAGAGACTGCTGCTGTTTTGGCCTAATGCTGAAAGGGCAAATGCTCAACATGGCAATCGCTGGACATGGTGAAACAGACTGATGTACATGGATATGCTGAGTGTACATGGCATCAAAGTGTACAGCTGAGGAACTGCAGGGAATGAGGAGGCTTTAATTTAGCTGGTCTGTAAAGCACTGGCTGCTGTTTTTTTTATCAAATACAAGGAATTTAAGAAAAAAAAGATAGAACATAGAACACATTTCTTAAATCACAGGGTAACATGAGTGTGTTGGTTATAGTTCTTGATTGGTTGTAGCCATACTGGCTCAAGAAACTCACATAGTTTAATGAGATTAGGTTAATAATCTGTGTTTGAAAAGAGGCAAAATTTTCTATCTTGGCAAATTCTCCCCTCCAAGGACAGAAGGTATGCTTATTAAGAAAGGCAGCTGATTCTTTTACAAATATTTGACACTCCACAACTTAAGATTTTAGAATTTAGCATAGATTAGCATATTTTCCTTCCTCTAGATATCAAATAACCTTTGGCATGATATCTCACGTGTGTGGTTCTGTGGGTACTTTTGGCACAGTACTCACTCATGAGAGGAAATATCACCCCTACACACAGAGAGAAGGTTTACTGACATGAAGCAGATGCTTCTAGTTCTGTGCAAAAGTCAGAGACCAGATATAAGACAATCCAACTACATAAGGAAGGAGAAAGTGAAAGGAAAATAAATGAAAAAAACAGGAGTTTCTAAAACTGGAGGTCAAAAAATGATTAAAAGTTAGAGAAAATAGGACTCAACCGTGCAAGATCAGGCAGACCACTACAACTGTCTCCTTCAGATAAACAGCTTTTATCTTTGAGAGGTGTGAGAAAATCAAGCTCCACTCTTGCTTCAGACCGGAAAAAAAAGCCAAAAGTGAGAGGACAACTCAACACTACGGGTCTGAAACGATGTGTAGCTGACAAGAAGCTGTTCACAAGAAAAGGAAAATGGAGAAAATCTGCAAATCAAACCAATTGCTAGTCCAGACCTCAACATCATTGAATGTGTTTGTGATTATTTGGATCATAAGAAGCAGAAAATGCAACCAACTTGTAAGACTGAACTTTGTAGGTGTGGAAAAATATCCCTGCAGATTTCTTTGAAAAACTGAAAGCAGGTCTCCTGAAAAGAATGGAAGGTATAA